GTAAAACAGCAATTATGCTGAGTCAGGCTTGATTTTTAGTAATCTTTTCCTGTTAAATCAATAAATCAAATCAAATCAATCAATTTAATTATTATTATTAATAATGTTTTTTTTATTGTTATCACTGTTATTTTTTTCTATGTTTGTAAATAATGTGCTAAACTAGAAGAACTCATCCATCCATCCAGAATCACATGCCCAGGATGATGTATTCACGCATGACACATTTGGTCCATTTTAAGTGGAGTTTTTTCCTCTATTGGTCCGGACCTTTTGTGCAGGTGTGAATACACTCATGCGGAAAAAAACAACCGGACCGAGAAACGTTTTTGAGGTGGTCTCAGTTCGCTTTCAAATCAACTCTGGTGTTGTTCTCTTCTGGTGTGAATACAGACCGTCCTCGAACTAAACCAAGTACAGGAAACATGCGGTTTTTTGGACTTCATTAGCCACCATTGCTGTGGCAAAAAATAGCCCTTCAGAGTTGCTAATGCTACAACAGCTTTACAAACAATGAGRTGTTGTGGGTCAGGGASAGTGYAGCATCTTTCCTCCTGTAGGTTGRGACAAGCATTTGACAACYCTGTCCCAACATTATAATTATATCAACTCAAAACCACCTCCGATTGAGCTGCTCTTCAAARTCTAAATGGWATWGCAGTTGTATTAACGGCACCATCTTTATTTCCAGGTCTGTGCTCTGTCCCGCCCACGTCATTTCTGTCCAATGGGAGCAAAGACCATCATCCATGTGGCTTTGTTTAGAAATTATAGTCCTCTTGCAAAAAAGCACAATGTGAATTCAAAAAATGAAAAAAACAAAGTCTGCTTTTGGTCTGGACCGAACACGTGGACTGAAGCTGACTCCTCTTCATGAAGCGGAGCAGCATCTACACTCCAGCTCCTCTCAGATGATGTAGCTCTGTGTCAAGCTCACAAAGACAAAAGCGAATGACCTTAATGAAAAATAAGTGCCCATTTTTTTTTATTTTTGGTTAGATTAAAGACCTGGTTCACTGTTTCACATCCTGATAGAAAGACCTACAGTGAAGAATATGACTCAATATATTTAGAATTTATTTGTATATCTGTTCTGTGTTTGCAGTGTCCCAGCTTGTCACCGAAGAGTTCACAGAAATGTCCCAGAAACTGGAGCTGGAGCAGGGCCTTCGGCAACATGCTGAAGACTTCGCCCACCAGGTGTGTGTGTGTCTGTGTGTGTCTGTGTGTGTTTTCAGCATTGTACAAAATGTTTCTGTCACACATTCACACCTATAGAGGATGAAGGTGACAGGTCGTGCCACAGGAAGGCAGGAGGAGTGTTGGTGCTGACCTTCGGGTGGCCGCGGTGAGAAAAAGGACACTCGGACAAAAAAGGATGGGATGAGAATACACACACACACACACATGCACGCACGCACGCACGCACGCACGCACGCACGCACGCACACACACACACACACACACACACACAGGGGTCTTGGTGTCAGAGAGCAGCAGAGGTGGCAGGTCAGCAGAGGGGGTCTGTTTTCACACCGACAGACAAATTTCAGCTCCTTCAATGAGGCGAGGACGTCGAAGATGTTTTCATATTCAGATTTATGATAATCGGATTCCTGCTGATCGGTTGTGGAGGAGTTCTGGTTTATCGGAAAATGAGAAT